CCACCAAGTACGCGTACGTCGTCTCCCACCTGGACGAGAAGTACGCAAATGAGGTCGACGACATCATCACGAGCCCACCGGCCGAGAACCCCTACTCGACACTCAAGGCTGCCCTCATCAAGCGCGTGTCCCTGTCCGAGGAGCAACGCGTCGAACAGCTTCTCTCCGGTGAGGACATCGGCGACCGCAAGCCGTCACAGTACCTACGGCACTTGCGCTCCCTTGCCGGCTCCGCCCTCAGCCAGGACCGGCTCATCCGGACTATTTGGCTGCGGGGGCTCCCGGCCAACGCTCAGGCCATCCTGCAGGTGCTGCCAGCCACCTTGCCCCTGGACGACCTCGCCGAAACCGCCGACAAGATCGTCGCCGTGCAGCCCAACCTAGCCCCGGCCGTGCACGCCGTCGCCCCCAAGGCCCCGGAACAGCTTGACAGCCAGCTCACCGAGCTCCGCAGCCTCATCTCCTCCATGCAGTCCGAGCTCCAGGCCCTCCGGTCCAACCAGAGCCGTGACTCCCGCTACCGGGACCGTTCCCGCAGCCCGTCCCCACGCCCACGTGCCAGCCAAAGCAACACCGTCTGCTGGTACCACAGCCGCTTCGGGGCCAACTCGAAGAAGTGCCAGGCGCCCTGCAACTACCAGGGAAACGCCCACGGCAGCCAGTAGTGGCGGCGTCAGGCTGCCGGGACATTTCAAGCCGCGTCATCATCAGGGACCGCACCACCAACATCAAGTACCTCGCCGACTGCGGGAGCGACGTGTGCTGCTGGCCCAAGCGGTTCCTCAAAGACAACCGCCGTCAAGTGCCCTTCGCCCTGAAGGCCGCGAACGACTCCACCATCGCTACCTACGGCACTCTGCACGTCTCCCCCGACCTCGGACTTCAACGCAAATTCAGCTGGAATTTCCTTGTCGCCGACGTCAACATGCCCATCCTCGGCTCCGACTTCTTGGCGTACTACGGGCTCCTCCCTGACTGCCGCAACAAACGACTCATCGACTCCACCACGGGCCGCAGCGTCGCCGGCGAGAACAACAGCGTTCACCAGCTGAGCGTCCGCGTCGCCTCTGTGCCACAATCATCGCCATTCAGCAACATCCTGGCCGAGTTCCCAGAGTTGACCAAGCCCTCGGGAGCTCCCCGCCAGGTGCGCCACTCAACTGAGCACCACATCAGAACGACACCCGGGCCCCCCGTGTCTGCGCGACCACGCCGCCTCGCCCCGGATCGTTTCCACGCCGCCAAGGGCGAGCTGGACACCATGGTGCAGCACGGCAAGGCCCGACGCTCCGAGAGCCCCTGGTCATCACCTCTCCACATGGTGCCCAAGAAGGACGACTCCTGGAGGCCCTGCGGCGACTACCGCGCTCTTAATGCCAGGACCATCCCGGACAGGTACCCTGTCCGCCACATCCACGACTTTTCCCACCGGCTCCGCGGCTGCACAGTTTTCTCGGTCATCGACCTCCTCAAGGCCTACACCCAGATCCCTGTCCACCAACCGGACATTCCTAAGACAGCAATCACCACGCCGTTCGGCCTGTTCGAGTTCCCGTTCATGTCGTTCGGCCTCCGCAACGCCGGCCAGACCTTCCAACGTTTCATTGACGAGGTGGTCTCCGGACTGGACTTCTGTTTTCCGTACATTGACGACATCCTGGTGTACTCCCGCTCCAAGGAGGAACACGAGCAGCACCTGCGCACCCTGTTCAAGCGCCTCGCCGACTACGACATCCTGGTCAACGCCAGCAAGACCGTGCTCGGAGCAGACCATGTGACTTTCCTAGGATACCGAGTCTCCGCCGCCGGCACGGAGCCACTCCCCGAGCGCATCCAAGCCCTCCGGGAGTACCCTCCCCCGCCGAC